TGGGCCCCGTAGTAGTTCCTTTTTGGGATTACCTAATAGGATCCTAAATAGAAGCCACAACAATGGGTAGGGTTTCAGGGTTTGGAGTTGGGGTTCAGGGTTTGGGGTTCAGGTTCGGGGTTTAGGGCTGCGGCTACGGTTTGCAATGTCGACAACGCGCCACGAGCGAGTATCAAGTGTGCATAAAACGCGCAAATTGTTCATCTGCTGCATGTGTGATACTACTACAAATGTCGTAGAATGGTCACAGCAGCCTAGACCCTAAACCCGAAACCTAAACCCTAAACCCAAGCGCTTTAATTGCCCAAAAAAGCCTAAGTCTTGGGACCTCGTTGAACGACTGAGTTAAGTGGCCTGCCCGAGGCCATGTCCCGCAGCTCGAGTTCCCCGAATATCGTCAGACGCTTATGTATTCAGAGCTTTCTGGCTGGAGGGGGTTGGGATTTCGCGGTTTGCATGGGTGTCCAGTTTCACATGGAGCTGTTGTGGTGCATTGTTGTTTTGTATCGTCTTGTCTAGTTCTAGATTATACGCTTTTGGGCTTGAATCAAAGGCATCAGCTTGCACGACTTCGTGGTCTTACTTCCGGTGCTTCGGATTCTGAATGTGGCCTCTTGTCAGAGTTGAAGACCTTAAATTAAAACTGACACCGTAATAAGGAAATGCGGTCGCCAACATGCTTTCTTATGATGAGAACCCAAACATCAACCTTGGGCCAGTCACAGTACTTCGGGGTTCATGGGCAGTTATAAGTGAGGTTATAACCAGCTATAAAGTTATAACCCATATTAGGGGATTTAGAACCCTGCTTATAAATACCCATGAACCTCCAAGTAATACCCGAGAATGCCGTGAAATGGTTATAGGGTTCGGAGTTCAGTGTTCAGGGTGTAGATGTTCGAGGGATTTGGTGTTGAGGGTCTAGGTCACTTCCGGTTCCGAGTTTAAGGTTTCGATTGAGACTTCCGTCAGGCGTCACATTACCCCAAGGCTCAATATAGCCCAAAAGCCTCCCCGAAAGCCTCATATAGTATGGTCTTTGGGCCCAAAAACCTTAAAAAAAAAATAGGAGTCCTTAGAGCCTTAGGGCTAGAGTATAACTGCAGTTGAAGTAGCATACCGACATACCGGATTTCCCTGTAGGAATCTAAATATGAATCCCAGCAAGGAACTACTATGGGGCCTATGGGTAGAGTATAAATGCAGTTTAAGTCCTAAGTAGCATACGGAAATATCCGATCATTCAGACCCCAAGCTTCCAGGATATACCAATTCACGATGTTCTGGGCCCTATGCAGCAGATTGTCGGTGCAATTGATATTAATCAAAAGGGTTTCGGGTTTAGGGTTTAGGGCTTATATTAGGGTAATTATAGCATGAGATACTAGGACATATTACCTTCGATTGCAATGTAACAAGATAGCATGCACCCTAAACCCTCACCCCTAGATTGTAAACCCTACCTGGATCCTGAAAAACCTACGTTCTTAGGGCTCCCTGCTATGATTTCTTTATATAAGTCCTTAAAACGGTAGGTTCTTCGGGGTAAAGGTACGTCCCAGAAGATTTTTCTTTGAGGGTGCAACTTACAACCGAGGATAGACGAGTCAGTTGGATTGGTTTCGGGTTGAGGGTTTAGGGGTTGAG